ATCCTACGCCGCAGAACAAGTGCCTTGAGCAGCCAACTCCTGCTTTGCTCCAAGGGGACTTTGGAAGTTGCTCCTTGTCACACACGTGCGCACCGGCCGCTCCACGCTGACCCTGTCGCATCTCCAGGGACGTTTCTCTCTTCTTGGAACTTGTGCAAATCAGAGGCCACGACTTTAGGGCAGCCTTTCACTGGGCCTTCACCCTCCCATCTGGATTTCATTCACTGCCATGGGCCGTGGTGGTGCCGACAGTATCTTGTACAATCACAGGTTAAGTGGTGAACATGGGGAATATCCTCAGAGCGGGTCAGTCCTTTTCCCTCTCACCTCCCCCATTCCTCTCTTTTTTTACCTCCTTTTCTTTTTTTTTCCTCTGAGTGGGAATCTCAAGCAAAAATAAATTAAATTTGACCGTCCTGGACAATAACCACGAGGTTTTTCTCAGTACCTAACATCAATACAAGGCACGCCCAACGACACACACACCATAAGAGCACTGCAGAGCAGGGCAGGGCAACCTGCCAACCCAGACATCTAAGTGCTAACTGTTTGTATATTTGTCAGTTTGCTGCTGCCCTCTTTTCCTTGGCTGGTGCAGAGGAAGTTGGGCTCCTGCCCTCAGTCCTCAGCAGACCTTGTAGCAGACTCCAGACCACAGCTTCCTCTGGTGCCATCACTTCCTGAAGCTGCTCTCTGGGATGGTCAGAGTTCGCCGCCTCAGTTTTCTTCCTGATCCTTCCTCCAGCAAGTAAGTGACATCGATAGCTGCAACAGACCACAGGCTTTTGGTAAGGGAAGGTGACAGCAGTAACAGTTCTCCAACTTCCCTACTCACGGCTCTTTCAAGGATGTTTCCATCCATAGCAATATTCAAAACTCTACTGGACAAGGTGCTGAGCAACCTGATTGAATTTGGAGTTAGCCCTGCCCCGAGTCATGTTTGGACCAGATGCTCTCCAAAGACCCTTCCAACCTAACATGATTCCACGACTACTTCCCATTAACTCCCAGAACACAAAGGAGACTGGAGAGAGCTCATCCTAAGCTTTAAATCAAAACCAGACACATTTAGTCAGTGCAACCACTGCACCCTAATTCTACAGCTTAGACAATGCCTACAGAAGTTACCTAAAACCTAATGGAAAGCTCATGAAAGGTCTAAAGAGACTTTCCAAATTCTCTTCAGTCTCACTCTGTGTCTCTGTTCAGCTTCTGAGCTGAATGAGGGGGGGAATTTGTCTTCAGAGAGTTTTGGTATAAACACAGTGATAGTTGTAGGAAATTTCTCTGGGATTTAGTGGAAATTGCTGCTGTTGCAATAGAAAACATTGCTGCAAAGAAAACTCATCTCAGTAACGTCCACTAGCAATGAATTCAGCCAACCCCATTTATTTTATCTCCGCAGCCTGCAGTGAACTGAAGACAAACCTGCAGAAGAAATGCTTCTGGGTAATCAGAGAGGAAAATCTCACCGTTTTTCCCTGGGATTTTCTCTAAGAGGTTTAGCAGGATTTGATTCAGTCTCTCTCTCTGAATATGCCGCCTTTCCTCTGGAGTGCAGAGCTGCCTCGCGTCCGAGCTGCTTTCTTCCACCTTCTTATCAGCTTCACAGCCCTCACTAGAGGCTGCCTCTTTTTCTGGCTCCTCGAGGGTCGGCATCTCACTTGAAGTTTGCTCTTGGTTTCCCAATACATCCTCCATCAGCGGAAGAGAATCTTCCTCTTGGTTTAAGTCTTTAATCTGTGGTTTGGAGCGGTCTGTTTTCCAGGATGATCTAGCAGGGAAAGAAGGGTTTAACTACCACCGTTTTCCAGACTGAAAGGTCAGTCACTAGTGAGCCAAGGACTTGCCAGCAGCCAGGGGGGGTTCTGGAATCTCAGTCACTTGACTGACTTACGTACATTCAAACCCTTAGTGGAGGAAGGCTGGATGGTCTTGTCCTGGCATTCTGCCATCTCCCACATTCAGCTGCTTCTGCTACCTTTCAAAACAGCTTCCGTACTCATCCTTACCTCCATTATTAAGGAACACTAACACTGCTTCTATATTACATCCTTCCTCACTTGTTCCCTTATTATCTCTTTGAAAGGTTAGAGGATTGCTTTAAATAATTTAAACTTCTTATTTCCACAGCACCCAGGGGAAATGGGTAGGGAAAAGAGTGGACCCTTGACAGACAGGATGATCTCATCTCTTCTCAACGAAAAACCTGGTAGGTAAGACTCACCTGCCTCCATTTCTCTTGTAGTTGTCTGGTACATAATGAGGCTGTAACAACAGTAAAGAGTATGGTTAATACCAAAGAAAATTCACAGTGGAAGAATGTGGTTGTCTATCAAATATTCTGGAAGTAGCAATCCAGGATTCACCTATCTGACACTTTAGAAATGCCAGAGCACTGCTGGCACATCTCACACATCAGGTCAAGTCAAAGGAGAAGGCATCATCCTGCAATAAGGATAAATTACAGCCAGACTTATAATCTGATTCTTCTAAAGAATGAGGTAATAAACCATCATGAGAAAAATCATCGTTGCTTTCTGCACAGCAGAAGATTGGAACCATCTCGAAATTCATGACACAAATCTCGGTGCTTCCAGGAAGGAAGGTGTTGACTTGCAAAAGATTTGCCGTATCTGATACCTCTTGTGCTCAGAGACAAAGCAGTGCTGTGCAGGAGGACATGCACAATGAGGAGTCACTATTCTATGGAAGAGGGGAAAATGAGACTGAAATGAACAGGCACTCAGAGGGAGGATGTGCACGGAAACTAATTCAGGATTTTGCTGCCTGTCTGCTGGTTTTTTGACAAGACATTCATTTCCAGTGATAATTCTATATAAAACAAGTCTGCCATTTGACAGAGCAGGGAAATGGAAACAGGAAAATACTGCTTTTCTGTACTGGGATCACTAGGCAAAGGTACTGTTGAAAACCATTTTTAGAGCAAGTTTATCAAGACCTGGAATAATTACCCCAAAGGAAAGCAAGCCTGCCACAGCCAGCCTCACCAGCTCACATGGGACTGGATGTTGTGTGAGGCTTTAAAACACACCAAATCATTGTACAGTTGCAGAACTGTGACCAAAAAGTGAGTTTTAAGATTTTCTTCACTCAGGAAGTGAAGTTTGTCAGTGTTCAAGGCCAGGTTGGACACAGGGGCTTGGAGCAACCTGCTCTAGTGGAAGGTGGCCCTACCCGTGGCAGGCGGTTGGAACTGGAGGAGCTTTAAGCTCCTTTCCAACCTGACCCAGTCTGTGATTCCATGATTGTGGCTTAAATGAAATTAGCACCTACATTCCAGTCATAAACCTCAATCTCCAAACTCACACATCACTGTTCATTCAATATCTGTTGGCCTTTGAACTGCATATTCTCTCTCTCCAGTCATTTTTTCTTTCCAAGCTTTCTTTCTAGACAACTTTGCCTCCAAACTGCGTACGTTCGTGTGTCAGCTTTCTTTGGTTTCCCAAGCTTCATTCCCAAACACAGAGCTAGGGGCTTTCCAAAAGTATGGCCACTCTTGTAGTAAAAAGGAAGGAAGCCGAGAGAAGAAACACTTACTGAAAAGTCTCTCTTGGGTGTGAGTTTCTTGGGAAAGTGGTCAAAGGCATAGGGCTTGGTGCAGACAGGATAGCGGTTCCGGTGGATCTTGTAGAAGAGATGAGCTGATTTATCCAGGCGGTAATCACAGATATACACATCCTGCTCCTTCACACCTTTTGGCCTCCCTGTGTTTGGAAACAAGAGCAGGGAAAAACCACCAATGAGATTCAAGAGGAAGCTCATGGTACAGCAGAACCACAGCAAGCCATCCACAGCGCCAGAGAGGCATGGGGGCAATCAGAGCTGTTTGGTGGGATGGCAGTTGGAACTAGATGAGCTCTAGGGTCCCTTCCAACTCAAACCAGTCTGGGATTCTATGATTATGAAGAGGAAAGGCAGGTATTATTATGAAGGGAGGTATTATGATTACTTTTATTTCAATTATTAAACTGTTCTTCTCTCAACCCACAAGTTTTACCTTCTGATTCTCCCCATCCCACTGTGGGGTGAGTGAGCAGCTTTGTGGTACTTAGTTGGGGTTAAACCACAGCAGCAGTGGTGCGTTGCACTTCATTTCTCCTTACCTTTGCAGTAGGTGTAGAGGTCAAGAACACAGCACGTTCCCACCACAGCTTCCAAGGGGATAATCTCATACAGGGGCACCCGGAAGAGCTCGTTGTGATAGAACTTGCGAGAAGGGGAATGATGTGTTTCATGTGGACGGAAATAGTGATGACCAAAGGCAAACCGCTCCTCTCTGCAGGGGTGAAGTGAGAGAAAGAGGGACACAGGAGGGAAAAAAGGCAAGAGATTATGTCTGTAAGTCCAGATACAACTTCACTTCAAGCCCTCCACTTCATCTGGAATAGTCTTGCACTTTTGCAATGACCGTGATGAAAAGCAAAGTCACATGAATGTTACACATTCAACTTCAGCCCCTTCAGTAAGTGGAAATACTCCTAGTGTGAGTTTTATGAACACAGCAGACTTACTATGCTGCTGTCACTGGGGAATTTAATCACGTTACAGTGGCTTAGGCAGTGATCATGAGCTGTCAGCATGTATTCTCAGCCTGTTCTAATAGTGAGGAAAGTGCATCAACTGATAGCTCTTATCCCTTGTTTAAACCTCCAAACTTAGATGCTTTTACTTTGCAGTCGTGAAGCACAGAGACATCATGAAGCCTTTGGAACTGACCCATGTTCAGTCCTGCATGTTTAAGCTATGACAAGACTTCTGCAAAATCACTGTGTTTAGCCAGGCAGGTATCTGCAACGTCCCCGATTCAAGAGATGCCTTGAACATACTTCTCATTTTTCCAGAGCTTTTCGATGCGGAATATATCGAGCTTCTCCCTGTTGATGTGGGACAGGAGCCGGTAGGACTGCCGCACGGGGTGGCCATCCGGAGTTCTGCGGCTGTCCCTCATCAGGTAAACACAGTCACCTGGCAATGGGCACAAAACACACACCTGTAAAGAACTTGTCATCAGTCCAGCACCAAAAATAGAGTAAATGCTTTCATTAAAACTAACATGACTTATTATTCCAGCAGAACTCCCAAGAAGATGCTCAACAGCTCAGCAAAGCTCAACGGAACTCAAAGAGGGCTGAACAAAATGACACTCGTGGCAACTAAAGAAGTCTTTCCAAAGTGCAACTCCATAACAGGTCCTCGACTTACTCTTTTTGTTGCATGAGGAAATGAACTCTTTAATTTCTCTGCTCTGCTCTGTGAAATGGCATTAAAAGTGCCCCCAGACTTGACTGCCATTCTCACACTGCAAGCCCTAGAATCCCGCAAAAGGGACAACGAATACACTGTCCTTTTAATTCTCCGCTTCCCTGAAGACTCACCCATTCCCCTCTCGTAAACATACCAGCTGGTTTTACTCATTCAAAAGCAGTTCTCTTAATAATTAAATAGACTTCTTTCTCACCTTGTAAGTTATCTGTAGATGAAATTAAAAACCTAACAAACAGCGAACTGAACTATGTGCTTGTGTAGCTGCCTCCGAAAGACTCAGGGTTTTGAAGCAATGTCCAGAAAGATACACTTCAGGGAACAAACAAGCAATAAGTTGGATGTTTTAATGACCATTCTACACTAAAACACTGAAGGCCTAATAGCCTCCTTTACCTTTACTTCTAAGTGTTAACTACCACAAGTTGGCTCAGCATCTTCCTTCTCTGGCCAGGAGGAGAGCCCTATCTGTGCTAAAGGTAATTACGTTGCTTCATCAACCAGCCTGTGAGAACTCTTACTATGTGTCACTCCCATAATAGTGAAGAGTGCAGCTTTCTACTTGTACGAAGATAAAAGCATTTTAAAGAGGGTGATGTCAGAAATCTCTGTACACTCTGATCTGATGGAAAGCACAGCAGCCACCAGGGTTAGCACATACCTTGGCGCAGCAGCAGATCATCCCGTAATAAGCATATGTAATAGACACAGCCAGGCTGGGCATAGTGGGGACGAGGGATCATGGGCACCTCCTGGATGAAGAAAGAAAAAAGGAAGGAAATGCTGTGATGCTCACCATAATCAGTGCAAAGTTGGGGCTGAAATCCTTCCGCAGAAGTGGACAGAGTTGGCACTTAAGGTGGTTAAATCTAAAGCAGGGAAGCTACACTATAAAGAGAGAATCCCACACTGGCCTGGTCAATCTCAATGAATACAAATGCAAGAGCTGCTTTAGTTTAGTAATGAAGAGGAGATTTCTTCTTACCCTGTTCACTGACCGAGGTTCACACTGCTCACACAAGTAGTGCTCAACATCAGAATTCACCCCCATGCAGTCGCAGTGCTGCCAGACCTAGAAAACCAGACATCCCAGTTAGAAATTCCTGTGACAGATCGTATTGACAACTGGCATTTTCTGAAGAAAATACTAAGGGAAGCAAGCAACCTTCCCAAAGGAAATTCAACATCTCCTTTGAGCTATTTCAGAAGACAGACAAGATCCTCGTGCAAGCGTGTGCCCCAGCTTGTTGAAGTTAATTCTGCTTGCCCAGGGACAGGAGCTGCTGATAGTCTCAGGGAAGTGCTAGCTCCTCTCTGGAGAAATGCAAGTTGCATTTCCTCTCTGGAAACAGACTCTTTCAATTCTTTTGGAGAGGAAGTGAAGGTCTGCAGAAATAATTAATGCTACCAGCTACATGGAACTGCTAGTAAATGTTTCACTGGGTATGGAGAAGAGCACCAGGCTCTGTTTTGTGTTCCCCCTGCCTCACCATGCACTTTTCACACTGGATCATGAGTCCTTCATCTTTGTAAAGGCCACAAATGCATCTGATCACGTCCTCGTCCTTCTCGTGCCCGTTCTCCTTCTCGCAGACCGATGTCTCACTGCTGTCAGCCTCACTTGCTGTTTCTCCCACAATCTCATCAATCTGGGCCGCTGCCTCGTGCCGGGCGCTGTAATACGCCTTCCGCAGGCGGCACACGTCGCGCCCCGTCGGGGATTTCCTGCCATAGTATTTCTGTGTGAAACCAAAGCAAAGAAGCAATCAGACAACAGCAGTGTGAGCAGGAGGTCATGGGGGGATCCTCCCCCTCTGCTCTGCGCTCATGAGACCCCCCTCGCAGCACTGGGTGTAGTTCTGGGGTCCTCCAGCGTAAAGACATGGAGCTCTTGGAGCAAGTCCAGAGGAGGCCATGAGGATGAGCAGGGGCTGGAGCAGCTCCTGTGTGAAGACAGGCTGAGAACATTGGGGATGCTCAGCCTGGAGAAGAGAAGCTGGGCTGGGAAAGAAGAAGCTGCGGGAGAGCTCAGAGCAGCTTCCAGTGTCTGAAGGGGGCTACAAGGGTGCTGGAGAGGGACCTTCATCAGGGACTGGAGTGACAGGACAAGGGGTGATGGGTTCAAACTGACACAGGGGAAGTTCAGGCTGGAGATAAGGAAGAAGCTCTTCCCTGTGAGGGTGCTGAGGCGCTGGCACAGGGTACCCAAGGAAGTGGTAAATGCCCCATCCCTGACAGTGATCAAGGCCAGGCTGGACACAGAGCCTTGGGCAACACGGTCTAGTGTGAGGCATCCCTGCCCATGGCAGGGAGGTTGGAACTGGGTGATCTTAAGGTCCTTTCCTACCCAAACCAGGCTGTGATTCTATGATTCTACGCCTGTTCATCAGAAACAGATCATCACAAGATCTCTTCTTCTGAAATATTTCTCTTCTATTACTGTAAGTCAGCAAGAGCATTAAATGAGGCTACATGCCCACTGCCTCTGCAATAGCTTTAAGGCCAGAGAGCCTCACCTCTGCGTTCCGGAAGACCTTCAGCATGTCCCCATCAAAAGCTTCCACAGTTTTGTAATAGCCAGTCAAGATCTGCTTCTCAATTGTGGCAAGGTCCAGGGGATCAGAGATCTTCTCGTAATAGTCTGCATTTCTAAAATGGAATGTATGCACAGTGTAATTTTCACTAGCAATTCAAAGCTGTGCAAATCCATTATGGAAAACCGTGGGTTGCTCTGGGAAGCAAGTACTTACTTTTTCTTTGGGGGTAGGTTCAGGAGGGGAGCTGCAAGAGCCTGCCTGGAGGAATCTGTAACAGAAACACAGAGTTCAACATTTACTTGAGTGAAACTTCAAAAGACAAGTAACTAACAACACTGAATCTAGGTCAAAAAAAGGCTCTTTTACTATCTGAGGCAGAGGGAATTGAAATGCTTTTGCATTTCTAGAAGTCGGTTGCTGTAATGGGACTGCAAGTATCAAAATGAATGGTATTTCCTTGTAATTCTGTCAGTTGTACCATTTTGCTGAACCACTCAAAAAGCAATTTAAAAGGATAGCAACATCTGCAGATTCTGGTGGCAGAGGAAGGGGTTGAGGATAAAGCAAAGTGATTAAAGTCATTACTGGGAGCAGGAGAAAGGGGGGAAAAAAGGAAGGTTCTTTAACATCCTGAAAGAAACTATTTTTTTCCTAGGATTTGCCATTCAGTCCATTGTTTCAGAGGCTGAGAAAGCCTTCAGGGAGGTTTTGTAAGGAGTGTCACCTTCACCTTTATAGGCTATGATGCTATCACATATTTCCTTAAAGATCTGGGCTAGGCGGGCAGCACGAGCCACTTCAATGTTCTCCTCAGCTGCAGCCAAGCGGCGGGTTCGCACGGAGCGGGCGGTCTGAAGGGCTGAGAACTGGGTCATGAACACATCTGAAAGAGGGCAAAAAGAATGATCCATTCCCAGTGTCTTCTCCCATCCAGCAACTCCCCCAGTTATTAAAACGAATGTGATTTCTAAGCCACTGCAATAGTAAAAGGCTTCAGTTTTATATTCCCAAGTCACCTCTCACTGCTTCGAGCTCATCTAAATGGTTAAGCTGGTTAGCAAAGGATTTTGTGTTGCTGGAACAAATACAGCATGTCACTGGATTCACCCAAAACACTTCCCAACTTCGCCTGTACCTGACAGTGGGACCCAGTCCTGCCTGGCTGTGAAGATTGTGGTCCTACAAAGAGAGAGTGCTATTTTTGGAGCAGGATTAATCCGTTTTTGTCCTGTTCCCATAGCTGTGTGCCAAAAAGCTTTGTTCTCTAAAGACCTGAATTCCACTGAATTATGAGGATAAATGACAATTGTCACAGTCAGCACAACTGTTTCTAGTCTAGGGATACAGAATGCAGTAAACAGCCCTTCTCTGTGAGGGTCCAATCCTGGAAGATGTTAAATATCATCTTCCTCCTCTTCTGATAAAGCACTCTTGATCAACACGAGACATGACAACTTCTACCAGGACTGGAGAGACACGAGGGCTGCTGGGGGAACAGAAACAGATCCAGCAACCACACCAATGGTTTGAGAGTACAAAATTCTCATCCTTAAGCAAACAGCATTAAGTGTTTCAGAGGAAACTGCAGAATCCCATTATGCCAAAACCCCACTGAAACAGCAAAAGAGCTTCTGTCTTACCCTGCCACGTAAAGATAAGGGCATTCATACACAAACATGTCTGTAGGTATTTTTCTCTGTATAGCATTCCCTGTATGTATTATAAAAGGTATGTGGAACTTGTAGTAACTCTACATTTGATTTACACAGAGCTTACTTCAACTCTTCATATAGGTTCTCAAAGCAGCAACCTGAGGAACCTGTGTTGGCCTCACCAGATTTAATGTTCCCATCATCCCGACAGATCCCGTTCCAGCGGTTGTACAGTGATGTGCTGTGGATATTGTCACTGACATGCTTCACTTCCTCTTGCTTCTGTCGAATCTTTTCCCAGTTTCGTACCAAAAATACATGGTGTTTCAGCACAAAATTCCTATGGGAATTTAGAAAAGCATTCAAGAATCATCTTCTTAGTGTAAAATCGATTCCTTAACATGGGGAAGAAGATATTCAGAGGCACTCTGAACTCGGAGGTTCTCTCCTCAGCAGAGAGGAATTCCACCCTAGCTGCTTAGAGGAGAACTAAGGACTGCTTACTCAGACATTTCATGAGGACCTGTCTCACAGAAACAACTCAACATTTGCACAAGGCTCCAATTCTGAGGACAATCCCACTCAAAGAATTCCTTACCTTTCCCTGTTTGACATGGGCTTCATCTGCAGCTGTGGTGTCAGCCTTGTCGGTGCATTCACACTTTCACTGGGTTCCTCTGGGATGTGACCCCTCTGGAAAACACATCATTCTGATAGACAGGAAAAACTGTGCCAAGAACTTGGCAAAGCACTAGAAGTAGCTGCTGAGACAGAACCTGTAGTATTTCTCTACAGTATTTCTCTGAAGTTTACAATATACCAATACAGGGGTTTTGCTCTGATGGCATGAACCCATTTCCTAGCCTTTATTCACCAAAAAAGCTGGGTTTACTACTTACTCTCTTCTTTAGTTTGTGCTTTGACTTCCTTTTCTCTTTTGACCGTCCAGGCCTTCTGTGGGTGCTCACAGGCTGATTGCTTTTGCTTGAAAGTCCATTCATCCGCTGACTTTTACCCCCGATTATTCCTCTGCATTTGTCAAAACCACATTTGCAGAGTTGCTTTGAGAAAGAAAACAGAAATATCCATTTAATATAACCCACAAATCACGTAGATCCTCTCTCAATATTCTAAAGAACCTGCTGTGTCAAATACAACACAAAAGCTGTTGTTAAGCGACCTTCAACTTGACAGAACTGTTTGTCCTGGCTGAGTTTTCTCAAGGCCTTGCACTGGGAGCCTTACCTGTTTCTCAACATTAAAGGAATGAAAATTGTAGTCATAAGTCAGTTCAGTACCAGCAGGCATGTCTTTAAGCGCGTACAATCCAATCCTGTAAACACCATTCACAGACCTGCCGGGAAAACACAGTGAAAGATTCCCAAGAATTACAAGGAAAAGGCTTTGTCCACACAGTGGAAGAGTTAGAGACAGGAAGCAACACTTCTGCTCTGCCCTGGATTATGCTTGTTCTTCATTTGTGCTATTCTTTGTTTCTCTCTCGCAACAAACTTTGGTAGCCAAAAAAGTGAACACTGGATTTACAGAGAGGAGGAAGCTGTGCTTCAAACAGAGAAGCTCCAAATTATATTGGCTGCTGTGGCAGACCTACTTCTCAACCACCATGATTCAGGCCCTCCCCCTAAATCAAAAGCTTACCTTGACCATCAGACCTCATTTCACAACACACACTAAAACGAGCTGCCTCTCCAATACCTTTGCTTCTTTTTTTGTACTGGATTTTCCACTGTAACACTTGATTACTATTGCTTAAATCCACTAGAATTAGCTGGGAATCGCCAGCTTCTCTGCCACCATCTTATCAGAACCATCTGCTACTCACTCTCAGTCACTCACTACAAGTTTCTCAGAAGTGCTTCCTACTAGCCTGGCACTGACTTGCTTCTGATAACACAGTACTGATATGACACAGGATTTGCTGAAATCAGACTACTTCCCTCTTTGCCTCCTTTAAAAACCAGTATTTGAATTGAAGGAAAGAAGAAACACACAAGAGATTATTTTTGGCATTACCCAGGCTTCAAATGTGGAGCAGATTAACAGTATGACAACAACAACGTTGGATTTGCCTTCCCAGTAAACTTAGCTCCTGTCTCCAAACTGTCCAATGCTTGAACACATTACATCACTCCTCTTGTGCAATGCAAGCATCATAGAAATGTTATTTACAGTGTTCAGCTTGATTCCCCTCCCTATTTTTAGATGAGATTCTCTTGATGCTCTGGTTATCTACATGTTAGTCACTGCCATCCCAGTCTTCCAGTAAACACAATATGTTTTTCTTACCATTTCTGCATCTCACAGTTAGGATTACAGCTGTGGTTGATAAAACGAGCCTCATTGCCCATACGATAACTATCTATCACCATTCCACTGTCTAAATTCAGGCAGTAATGATCACTGTGATTATGGTACTGTTCAATCATCCGGTTCCTAGGAAGCAACACAGGAAAGTTATTTGTGATTCTGCTTGTTGCTGCAAAACAGGGAGTAACAAAGTCATAGAGCATTTGAGAATTCTGAGAGAGGGTTCTGAAGGAAAAGCAATGATCATCTTTGATACTTTACAGAACCAGACACCTCGAGATGGAGGAAAACCATTGTTATACCTATTTTTATAAGTCAAGGCCACTGACAGAGCTTGCATTAGAATTTAGAAATTTGCTCTTCTGGAATGCTCCCTTTTGGGTTCTGCAGATTATTTGTCTACATTTCATGGTGATAACCTGTGTATGGAAGAGAAAATGCAAGTATACATTCTTTGGTGTGTATCTGTACGCATGTGTACAACAATCAGCTGCTTTCATTAGCTGGGACCGGACACAATTGCTGGGATGACATCCATGGATTACAGCTTCCTCTTTTTAGCAAGAGAGCAACAAGAGTCAATTGTGTTAGCAGGTATTTCTGTATGAGAAGATTTCATTTGTCTTTTGATGGGTCTCTAAGAGCAAGGACATCCCTCCAATCTCAATTGTCCTGTGATGCCGGGGAATTAAAAGACTACACCTTCTTTCATTCGTTATTAATGCTCCCACTTGCTCTTTTTCATACCCATCTGTAAAAGCTGACCACTCTTCCTGCTCCATTCTGCCCCTCAGTTCTACCTTGCACAGTCCAAATCCTGCACAGTCCTCATAATGACATAAAATTCACATGCACTTGTGGCATTTGGCATTTCTAGAGCAGATGTGGCAGATGATGCATTCCAAATGCTAATCATGCCTCTCTATTTGACTGAGAAAAACTTGGTGGATCGAAAGAGCTCAATTCTAGGCCTGCCTTCTGGTGGCTGTGACCAGAAAAGCATTCTTCCCCCCCTTCCTCTCCCCTTTGTTTCTGCCTAAGGGTTTCCCAGCAATGATAATAGATGCTAAAGTCATTTATTGAGCCCTCCATGCTAAAGCAGCAAATAAATGTTTCTACCTGAATTCTTGCTCACTAACAACTTCGCCCAGATATTCAATGATAAACTGTCCTGCTTTCAGGGGTTCTTTGGTACGAATACCCCATCCTTTCTCCTCAGCCCGGAACCTCTCCAGGCACTGCACCCATTCATGCCTCTGTATCCGCTGATTGCAGCACTGGTCACCACAAGGGCACGTGTTTGGTGAACACTCCGCAAAGATCATCCTAAAATAGAAAGCAAAGAAGTTAAAGGCAGGTGCGTGGCCTACTTTTACACCTATCACACAAAGGGAAAAAGAAATGCCTTTGTTAAACACCCAGCCTGGTTTGGGTTGGAAGGGATCTTAAAGCTCCTCCAGCTCCAACCCCCTGCCACGGGCAGGGACACCTTCCACTAGAGCAGGCTGCTCCAAGCCCCTGTGTCCAACCTGCCCTTGAACACTGCCAGGGATGGGGCAGCCACAAAGAACTAAAATGCTTCTTGTTTACAAGGGATAATACACACAGAGATTCACAACCTGCCCCCCACTGCTATTCAAAGATCAAAATGGAGCTTTTCAAGGCATCTTTCCTCTGAAGAAGGGGGGGGGGGTGTCATACGTGCAGCAGAAGGTTACCCTTCACGCTCTGGAACAAGACTTTAACTCCTGGGGTTGCATCCAGCACAACTCTTTTCTTAACGTATTATTAACTGATGTGAAATATTACATTTATTGAAACAGCCTTCTCATCAATCAACCTCTTTCTAACCTGTTGAGACAGTCCTCCACACAGCCCTTCCCATTGTCATCATCTGGTTTCTTACAGTTGCAGGTGGTGGCCTCATAGCCAGAGAGAGGCTTGACATCCACATAGACATCTGGAGAGAAAAGAAAACAACAAAAAACAAACCCAAACAGGGAAAAGAATTCTTTCCAGGTGAAAACCAAAGTTATTTCTCCACAAGACTTTCATTCCAATTCCATCAAGCAAAAAGGAGGAGATGGCAGTGTCTTTGGGAGGATGAAGAGCATGACAGACAGGAGGGTGTCAGAAATTCCACACTGAACACACTTGAATAATAAGATTTTACTTACTAGAACGGATTTTTTTATAAAGTGGGACATCTGGCTTTTTATACAACTAAAAGGAAGAGAAAGAAAATGTTAATACATTGCAGAAGTGCTTCTGTTAGTCAAAAGAATCATGGAAACTGTGTTCTGTACATAGGGAAGTTTTGTAATCCCTACAAAATACAGCTGCATTCTCTTCTTTAGGCTCACAGTGCATTAGCAAATAGCTCAAAAGAAGTACCTGGGTAACAGCACTCAGGCTAAGGGAGTTAGCTGAGCATTCTGCCTCACAGACTTTATTCTTCCCATACTCTGAACAGAGCAGTGTGGATCACGAGGACAATACTGAAGAGTAATTATTGAAACCTACTTTGGAGAAAGCCTCTTTGGTGGAATTACCATGTGCCAACACATCCTAACAGTTGGACTCAACGATCTTAAGGGTCTTTTCCAACCTAAAGGATTCTGTGACAACTGTGACTACAGGTAGGAGCCAAGAGAAATGCAGATTCATCTTCTAACTAGAGAAACTTCCTCTGCAGATGGAGATGACTGAGGGAAAAGGCAAGTTCAGATCACGTTTCATAACCTCCTATATACTCCAACCTTTCAAACAGGCTTTAAGGAATGATTTCAAATCATTACATATTTCACATACATTTGCTGCATTAACAGCCTTACTGCAGTGACATGTGTGGCCAACAGACACTGAGCAAACTGTGTAACCTGTACAACCACTGTACAAACAAAACTGCTCTGGAAGGAGTTCCCAAATTCCAGGTAGATACAGAAAATGTCATGGAAATAGATCACATATGTATTATTTACGTAACATTGACTAGATAAGATAAGCAGATGCAAGTAATCTGCAATAGACGGCAAGAAGCTGAAATGTCAACCAGGAGCATAACCTGAAGATTCAATTTTGGTGGCATTACAAAGAGTAGCTGGAGCCACAACCACCTGGGGATTTGTCTTGCTCATTTACACGCTTAAGTTACATGTCTCCGAGTGCTCTCTTGCTATAAAGCTGGGGAAAGATTTACCCTCCAGCCTTAAATCCTGTGTTCAATCACTCGGTGGAAACTTCTCGGGGAGAAAACAAAATAGTCCTATTTTTAGGTCTGCCCATATTTAAAGCTCTTTCAAAAGAATGAGGCTGTTAAAGAGTTTCTCTTCTTTCCTCAGCATGAAAATCTCAGCTTGCAAGTGAAAAATAAATTCCACTCTGCTGGGATTGATCCAAGAAAAATAAGGGCTGAGATTTCTCAGCGCTGTTGGCAGCACATCTGAATTCTCCCGAGGCGTGTCTAAAACAAGATCACTGCAGAGAGCAGCCACACACCAAAATAAGAGTCTGCTCCAAAAGGAAAGACTTTTTGCAGCAGAAACCCCTGGGATTGCTATTTTGCAAGAGAGGGAATAATGGAAATTATTCCTATTAAATACATATGCAAATCCTTTTCTTCCTCAGAGTGGCAGCCACAAGAGTATTCACCAACACACGGGGTACAGAAACGGTTTCATGGAAGAGTCAATGCTATTTTCTTTCTAAGACTTCTGATGGTAATCTGGGCAACCCAGGAACTTTGTATCTTGTACCTGATTGTGTTTCCACTGCCAGAGGATGTCGTAAGGCAGCTGGAAGTCGATCCTCTTCTGTCTGAGATACTTTCCTGAAACAAAAAAGGTTTGTCAGTGGCACACACTCAGCTTCCCATATCCCCAAGGGGTGAATGAGCTGCTCGCAGGCCCTGCGCCAGCTTCTGATAGGGCCTCTCCACGCTGGAAAGGCCAAGAGGCAGAAGAGCAGAGTCCTCCCAGAACATTTTGTTTGTCTGGCAAGCCCAGGGAAGAGCCCTGCACAACGCTCCCTTCGACCCTGTCAGCTTTAAACCTTGCCTGCCTGCGAGGAGACTGCTGGCTTAGACAGGAGATGCCCAGTGAGGCTGGTGCAGAGGGAGCTGCCTTCTGCGTTGACGTTGGTGTTACAGATGCCACCAAACTCCAGCAGTCACAGTTCAACTCCCAAGAGCAGGGCCAGGAGCCTGCTGGGGTCACTGAACCTGAGCTACACAAGGGACCAGAGCAAATTAACAACATGAATTCAACTCTGTGCCTCACGGTGGCTTCTGGGCAGGAATCTCACGGCTGACGCTTTTCTGCATCCACATGAGCACAGTGATGTGGCACAAGGACCAAATCTGCCTGCACCATTCATGCAAGCTGGTAAACCACAACGTTGTACTCAAAGAAACCAAACAGGATCCAAGCCTGTTCCTGTGACCTTCACAAAGAGAGACTTAAGAACAAACTCGGGCTTGGCGAACACATTCCTAAACCTTCTGGAAAGACTTCAAGCTGATCTATGTTTTCAGCAGTAACTGACACTCACTTTACAAAGGAGTTACTACTCTCATTGCAGATTTAGACTCTATTCCAAAATTTACTGTCACCCTGAAGCTTTCTCCAAAAGAGGGAAACTGACTCATTACACACTTTGTTAATACGAGACCTGGGGCCTGACACAGGCACTGGGTTAGTCCTGGCCAAGCTTAAAATGTTCTCTCATCATTTTGCTGGACTACAACAAAATGGACTGTATCAAAAGCAGCACAAGCAGCAGGTCATGGGGGGATCCTGTCCCTCTGCTGTGCTCTGGGGAGAGCCCCCCTGCATCCTGTGTCCAGTACTGTGTCACAAAACTGAAGTGAGGAGGGACTAAGGACGAGGTGTCAGCCCCGTGTCTGATTTTCCCAGCTTTTCCAAATGTTAACAAGTGCCTTTCCGTCCCTCCAGCTGGAAGAGGTTTCATGTACATTCACACACATGCCCTCGCCACTGGAAAATAACAACTGTAATGTTTTCCTTCCAATTTACCCCTCAATTACTCTCCATTTTCAATGCTTTATTCATCCATCGCAGGTTCCAGGAAAGAGCTAAATCTGCTGGGAATTTGCTTCCACTTCTATGACCTCAGCAGAGAAACAAAAGGCTCTTTCAGGTGCCCTGGCATCGTGCCTGGATGCATGGAATGTCCCTCCAGCCCCGTCAAGTGGGCACTAGTGCAGTCATGTGGCAGAGAGCTAAACCTGGGAGCTCTGCAGTTAAACCACTCTCCAGCGACCCGATACGGAGTCACTGAAGCAGCTTTAACGTCAGAGTAGGAGCTTGTTTGTGTCTGCTACACAACCAACCACGGGGTGAGGGCCTTGTGGAGAGAGAACAGGAGCATCCTGACAGATGGTTCAGTCACACACCAATTCTGTGACCCAATTTGAAGAGGAACTGAGAAAGGTCATGGGTTTGAGGAACTAAATTACCAGCTTCAGTCCTGAATTTGCACTTACTGGTTCAGCCAGATCTCTGCAACTTCACTGCTACCACCTCCCTGTGAGAGTCAACGTTGTACATGGAGCAAGAAAGTTCAGGTCAAGAAGACAAACCAATGACACGTTTGTATTTGATGGGACAAATATTCCCTCTGAATAATATGGAATTTCCCAAACTAGCCCAGTCTAGAGGAGTAGACTTGTGAGCTCCATCCTGGAACTCTTGAGTTCTACATGCTCATGCCTTAGGTTACGGCACAAGGCAAAGGGAAGCCCTAAACCTCATTTCTGTTCTACCCAAGGCCTCGAAGTCTATTAAGTCCCCAATATTGCCTGCTTAGTTTTTGAGATTTAGCAAATGCTTATAATAGTCTCTGGCTATTCTACTGTAATGTGAGTTTGAAAAGGAGACTATTTATTGTACTGCATTTAAGCAAAAGTATTCTGAAGTTAAAACAGGTTTGAAACTAGACTGGTTCTTTCTAATAGTAAACAAACCCTGAGAACAAAGTTCATGCAGCAAGGGAATAAAAAAGCCTTTTGAGTGAAGCTTTTGCACTGCAGAACACAGGCAGATGAGTGTGACCTTTGGCAAAGCTCCTGTGCTGAAAGACATGAGTAACCTTGCAAAGGGCTACAAGAAGAAAGGAAAAAAAGGGAGACCCTGTGATCCAGAGTAATTCCGTGTCACCCAAGTGTGGTATTTGTTCCCAACAACTCAAACACCCATGAAGTACCCACCAACGTGAATAGGGGCTGGAAACAATCCATGCTCATGCTCTCCAGGAGTATACTCCAGCTTTTCTTTCTTCAGTTGGATGAGGCGGCTCTTGGGACTGTGGAGAACAGTGGCAAAACCCCATCAGGATGAGGAACAGTCATTTGCAACCCCCATCTCTTCTGGTTGAATCATGGCACAAATGGCCAGAACACCAGGCGAGAGAATAACAACAGAAATGGCCCCAGAAAACCTGCTTTCCAGGCTGGTTTCCAAACACACTTATCACACCCATTTCAAGCTTGTGATTTGATTTTTCTCCATAACTGCTATTCAGGCAGCACCTAATGGGACACCATCAACTTTAAATGCCTGGTGGGTGATCTATTTATGTGATGTAATCACAAAAGAAGATCAACAAACCTTATCTGATGTTGCCTGCTCAGTTATCCAGCACGTACAGGTATAGTGCCTGCTCCCCTAAATTGCTAAGAGCAAACATTGTGCTACCCCTTCAGAAGGCTGCTCATCAAGAAAAGCAGGAAAAGAACAGAAGTCAGAGTTAAAAGCAGTGAGACGCCCCCTTTATTGCAGGAAAGAATAGGAATATGAAATCAGAGTGATTGGATGGGCCAGGGAGATGGTGAACCATTAGCTCAATAACCTGCCTTTCTAAACAGCACTTTTTGGCTACTACAACTATGGAAAGAAGAAAGTCAAGTGGTTTATGTGTAGTACTGCAACCCCTGCAGCATTCTGAAGAGACTTCTAAATGTTAAATACAGTCCAGATTAAAATGATACTGAAGCCTATTAAAGTTTACTGAAGCTTTTTAAGGGATTTCTTTTAATAACTGGATATACAACTGAAAGCTGATGCAGTGAAACTTGTACTATTATTCGCTGAATGGAAAACGGAAGTTAATCCTTCCCCCCCCATATTGAGATACAGTTATCAGCAAGTGAAAATCATTACTGAAGGGCAGAAACAGGACTGATGGATGGCAGTAACCTGGGGTTCATACACTCTTCTAACCCTCTGTGGATTTCGGGTACTCATTCCACAAGTATAACAAGTTCCTACGGTTTAGGTAGTGAAAGAAAAGCTGAGGCACACTGCTGAAATGAGGCTCTGCTGAGCTCAGGGTTGCACATACACTTCCTCAAACAACTCTCCTTTGATCGAGTTATATGGCGAGGCTTTAGTTATTATCATACATTTGCATTTAACTTAGTATCTCCAGGTGGACACACGGCCATTCCTAGTCAAAAAGCTGAGCTCTTGGCCAGAAGCTCTTCCCTGGGAGGGTGCTGAGGCGCCGGCACAGGGTGCCCAGAGAAGCTGTGGCTGCCCCATCCCTGGCAGTGTTCAAGGCCAGGTTGGACACAGGGGCTTGGAGCAACCTGCTCTAGTGGAAGGTGTCCCTGCCCGGGGCAGGGGTTGGAGCTGGAGGAGCTTTAAGGTCCCTTCAACCCAAACCGCTCCATGATTACGAAGAGAAAATGGGAAGGTATTTTGCAAAGGCAAAGTGTGAACCTCCATTTCTAAGAGGCAAATCCTTAAACTAAAGGCATGAAAAAAAAAAGGAAAAACATTCAGTGAAAAGGTGACTTAATTCAAGCCAAATGTGCTCCTTTTAACACCCACATATTCACTGTAAAGGAAGGCAATGGAAAAATAAATGATGGTAAATAAGCTGCAAGGAGGAAAGCAGAGTGGAAAGGAAATGCAGAAGGCAATTATCTAAACCCACAAATAGCTCATGAATTCCTTCAGGCACTGCAGACACACCCGTGTGAGACCCAGCCACAAAGAACACTGGGGAAAGCACCTACACTGCTTCCCTTCTAAACACAGCAGTGAAGAGTTCTGAGAGGCATGTAAAAACTCTCACAACAAGTCACTGAGCTGAACAAAGGCCACCAATACTTCAGGGACTTCCGAGGGAAAGGCTGAGATGTCAAAATAAAGCACAATTCTTCATTAAAAGGAATCTACTCAGTCGAGTAGGAACAATACACGGTTCTAGAAACATCACCACTGTGCAGAACACACCTCATGAATTAAAAAAGGCCTCTCCACACTACCTGTAAAAGGTCTGTATTAGCAGGTGCACGTGTTCCCACTGGGAAGGTGAGGAGCTATTTTAGGCTGGGGTTTCTCAGCAGGCAATCAAGGTTCTGGTTTTGTGTTCAGCTACTATCTTTATGAGAAGACTCCGCTGCACTCTCTCCTTGCACTTTGCTGTAGTCCAAGTGGCACTAACATGACCCTGACCAGTGCCTCGGGAGGTTTCCACCCTCATGGCTGCCCACGGAGCCCACAGACCCACTTACACCCAGCCCTGCCTGGCCTGTGTGGTGTGGGGGCACCCACCTCCAGCCCAGCCACTGCCACGGGAGCTGTGGATCCGGTGGTGGCTCAGCCATGCTCTGGCTTCCTGGCTCGAGCCTGGACCTGCCTGGCAAGGGTGGACTGTGTCTGACCCTGGTTACCATCACTAGAGCCGGCCCTGACCCGTACACTGACTTCCCCTTGAACCTTGGCTTGCCCTGGCACACTGGGCTCCTGGCTGCTGTGTGACTGCACACGTGGGGCTGCTCGGAGCCAGTGCTGCTCGTGCCAGTTTTTAACTGAGCTGGAACACCTGCAGATGGTGCAGCAACAGGAATTTCCAGGACTAAGCCTAAGTCCTTGCAGCCTCCCAGGATCAAGGACAAGTACCTTGGCTCATTTTCATACCATGCTCTTTAAGGTGTTTCCCTCTGTAAGCAGATATAATGATTATTGCAGCTGAAAAGCAAAAGATCTCTCCCGAGAACAGAGAGATGGATTTACTGGATACAGGGATTAACACTTAACTGTACCATCACTAGAGGGTGCCCTACGATTAGAGTTGCATTTATGTTCTCCACCAAGATCCTGGTTTTAGACTCCTACAGCAGGAAGTGATATAAATTCTGGGATAACAACATTAACTTCTGCTCTCCTCTTGCAATGGCAGATGTCTGACTGTGCAGGAGAACTGGAACAGCAAGTTAAATCGCTAGAAAACTGAATTATACAGAAGTGACTCTTGTTCTGCTGATTTAGTTTGCTGAACCAACTCAGTGAGGAAGTGACGCGGTGCTAGCACGGAAGGACGGTGGGATCAGCCCTTCAAGCTGCAGCTTATCACAAACATCAGTATCAGTGCAAGGGAAGAACTCAGCATGGGGAGCAGCAGGCAAAGGGAAAGACCAAATCAGATCCCTTTAAGCTTCAAGGGAAGTGCAACACAAAATGTGATGGGAGAGGGAGGATTATAAGTAGATTGTAAGAAGGCTTTGTCATGGCCTCCTCCAGGGTGTGAACTTGAGTCCATCATCAGCCACAATACCCACCTACTAGTGGTCTGTGGAACATTTTAAGTGGTCAACAGTGTGGTAAGAAGGTACCAGAGTTTCTCTTTTTTAATCTGTCAGATCACATTAAAAGAGAACTGCAAATTCTTGACGTCAACACACTTGTGCAAATGGCTGCAGGAATGTAACTACAAGCAGAAGCAGAAGCGGGCTGGTTATCAGAAGTGGGAGATGGGCACCTCCTAAGGCACCCAAGGTTTGACCCAACCACTGATGAGAAAATCAAAGGCGGCTGGATTTTTACTCTAAACATCTCACAGAAAATGAAGATGAGTTTCACTGCCTGTGAAGTGAACAGGGCATGTACCTGAAATTCTCTCACCCAAAGGATGACCAGTTGTCATCATTCAGTCAATACAAATAGAAACCTAATGGCTCCTCTCACGTAGACACTGCCCTCAGGACCTGAACACCTCAAGCTCCCCCAGAACTTTTGCTGCCATCAGCACCAAGACTGTTGAATGCTGCCTCTTCCCTTCCTAACCTGAACCACTTTCAGACTGCTCGAGACTGGGGCTACGTTTTAAATCTTCACTGGCTCAGATTCTGAGAATTATCATGCATTAATTTTTTCACAGCCTTGAATTAAGTTGGTGGTTTTATTTCAGCTACTGAGTAGTGGCAGCTCTGTACGGTTCTAGGTGAAAGGAGACAGTTTCCACTGGCATATCAGCAGCTTTGCAGTGGTGTTACTTACTCTGTGGTTTTGTACACATCAGAGTAGAGCCCTGCCTTCTGGTACTTCTTCTTTGGGGGTCGAGGGGCTTTTTTCTCACGCTGGGCTAGAGCTGGCAAAGGCTGTTCAGTGTTTTCAGATGCAGGTGGTTTCCCAAGGGCATCCTGTGGACTGGGAGGTTCAGCTGCTGGCTCAGAGAAACTGGAAGAAAAAGGAAAGACTGAAGATTCTCTCACCGCAGTTCATGGTTCCTCTCTAGCATCCAGCCAGCAGAAAAAGCAACGTCCCTGCTTCTGAATTAGTAGATGCCACTGCTAGTTACAAAAATGTAATTCAGTGATCAGGATCAAGTGGTGGTTAAGCGTAATCGTAAGAAATGTAGGATCTTTTTATAGTAGTGTTATTAATAATTACATGAAGAATGTTGTTTGTACTCATAACATTTATCCCTTGGAGTCTCAGCTGAGAGAAGGTTCCAGACACAGTCTGTGAATCTAAATGCCTACATTACAGTATTCATTCCTGAAACACAAATAAGGTGGTTATTTTTCAGAACTATTCTAAAAACACACAGAGGAAGACTTATGGAAGAGTTCGATCTGTTTGTATTGATCGTTCTGGGGATAAGCATGTGAAAACTAGACCAGAGGTAGCTTTCCGGTGTGATCCTTTACTAGCCACTGGTTGCGGAGGTGCACACCTTAACTCCTCCTTGCTGCTTTGGTTTTACTCTTTATTTGCTGTATATCAACTGATCTCGCCTTATGTTCTGTGTTGATTCACAAGTATTTGTTTGCAGTGCATATGAGTATCACTCTAAGATCCCCATGGTGCACGTAACTCTCTCAATCCCTTATTCCAACAGGATGAAGGAACAATCTTTGCTAAGGTACCTCATCAGGAAATTTGTTACCAACTCATTAAAAGTATTCCTCACCAAGACAACCATAAAGCTTGCTTCCCTTAAGGCACAAGCACAAAACCAACAGGTTTAGATTACCTGAGATTCCATCCCATCTTGGGGTGTTCAGTAACTCAGGAAGACCCTAAAGCACGCTTAACACTGACATGTTAGTTTCCTCTACACTGAAAAGCAAGTGTAACAAGCAGAGCTCATTACAGCAGGATTCTTTCATGGACTGAACTGATATAAAATCAACAACTATCCTGATGGTACAAAACTGTAAGGGAATTACCTCTTATTGCTCTCCTGTTCATCTTCTGGCAAAGGCTTTTGGCGTTTCCTGGCCTGCTCCTCTGCAAGCCACCTCTTCCTCTTCCAGCCTTTCCGGTGATCTGTATTCAAGTTCACGCTCTGCACCACAGCTTCAATCACATCTGTGATGGTGTCAGGTCCCAGGTGTAAGGGGCTGCTGCTTTCTTCTCTCTTCTCTAGCTCCTGGCTGACCAGTCGAGCTGCCTGGAAAGCCTGCATTGAGACGACAGCCTGGAGCGGGTACTTCCGAGGCCTCCCAGGCCTGCGCTTCACAAAGTTATTCCCTGTCCGTGCCTGCCTCTGCAGCTTTTTGGCTTTCAGGATCTTATTGACGTGGTCCAGATTTTTTTTTGTTGCCAAGATCTTGTTATAATTGCACATTTTCCTCGCTTGTCGCTGCATGGCTTCAACCACGCTCCTCTTGAGGTGCCGCGGGGAGTAGCTGTTTGGTAGCCTGTCCGACAGAAGCGAGATGCTATCGCTGCAGGAGCTGCTGGGAATTGCTGGAGCTACAAGGCTGTCCTGTTTCCCCAGCCCTCTCTCCCGGTTGTGGTTTCGAGCAGGACTAGCTGACGGTGGAACAGACACATTTGCCATGACTGCTTCTAAGGTTTTGTCCAAAGTAGCCTGGCCTTCGTGCTGTGCCATGCGCTGCAGCAGGGTATCCACTGGATCATCAGCACTTGCCAGCCTTCCTCCCCGTGCAGGTATCACTGAAACACAAATACACACACACTGAGAGACCTGAGATACAGCCATGTGAGCCTGGAATGAAAACAGTACAGCTGGGTAGGCTGACAGGCTTTTACATCCTCTAATGGCCGAGAAGACACCAGATTCTGGAACAGAAGCTCTAATGGGGAAGGGACCCAGTGATGCAGAAATGCAAAATCTACATTTTAGATCAGCTTTAACACACATTTATTCTCTCTTTAGTCACACACAGTCCCCATTTCTTAGAGCTGCAAAAAAAAGAGAGTTTCCAGGTCCACCATATAGATTATGCTGTATCAAAAAAGGAGTTTGTTCCACACCAAGAGCTTCCCAAAACTGGTTCTTGGTGATAGCATTTAATGAGAAGAAGCCCTGTTTTTTCTGGAATAAAACAGATGCTGCCTTCTCCTAAACAGATCACAATTGCATATTAACATTTACAGAATGTTACTGCTCCTTGGGGCCAGTTAGTTAGATTAGACCTACTTAAAGCAGTGGGTCTGAGGCTGCAGACTGAAGAGCGTGTGCTCGTGCAAAGGTAACTGGTAAGGGGAAGGCAACAGAGTGTTTCTATAAAAGGGCGTCTGTGATTTGACAGGAGGGAGATGATGCATTAGCTGACAAGAGAAAGCACAAATAGCTGCAGAGAGTGCACGACTTAGACAAGGAGGTTTTAAATCCTAAAATCCTCCTGTGAGCAACATTCTTCCTACAGGTTGGAAAAGGAACGCAGAAACATACTTATTTGTCAGGTTGGTGCTGTAAGCACTTGGAAAACCCAGGAACCTGAGCAGCTCTGGGAGAAGTGGAAGGATTTACACTTCCAGCTTTCAATTTGAGATCAGATTATAAAGAGAATTTACCCTTTGTTTTCTTCTGCTCTTTAAATACACGTGGGGATGGAGCTGAGGGTTCCTCACAGAAACACCATCAGTTTAGCACCGTGAGCTCTATAAACACCTGCCCCATCCAACGACAACCAAACTCTCCACCACATTTAGGCACCAAGTCTAATGGATGCCCTTGAACTAGTGCTTCTGTTTGGAATCTGATCCAAAAGGCTGGGACAACTGAAGGCTGTGATCTCCAAACCAGCTGCAGCCCTGGTGGGGCACACTCGCAGCCCTCAGGAACAAAGCAGCTCTCTGACAAACACACTGAAATCCCACATGCATTCCAGATCCACGGAAATCCTAACAAAGACTCATCTTTTCAGCTGCATCATCAGTTCCATGACTTTGAAGTTGATAAACTTGTGATTCCTTCCATTCCTCTGCTCTCCTGCACAAAATCTGCCTGAACTTTTAACACCTTCCTATCCACAGATGGACACTGCCTGCAGCTGCCCCTTTCAGACGTGTAGAACTAAGCTGACAGGACAGAGAGGAAAAGAGAAAACACTTCCTCACTGTGAGGACTTTCTGATTAAAGCTGATTAAAGCATCTGTTACAACTATCTGTTTAGAGGGAGGAGGAAATAGCAGTTTTGGCATGTTCTTCCTATATGGAAATCATAACTAGTTGTGGAAGTACCAAGCCTTAGGATGTTTATTACAAATTGGTGCCTAAGAATGTCTGAATTCTGTTAACAGGACCTCCTTGCAAAAGAAAGCTCAGAACACATCAGGAGTACCTTGCCCTAGGGTCATTCACGACTGGGATGAGCTGCCTGTCATCCTCCATCCCTTTAGCAGGATTCTCACATGCTACCAAGAGAACATAACAGCAGAGCCCACCTTGATCCTAACAGTTATCTACCCAAGAGGAGAAAACTGTCTGCTTTCAGAACAGCACAGAAGTCAAGCTCTTCCCCGTGGAGGAATTAATCTATTCATCTAATCCACTGATTAACTGGAGAGACACAGGCCTTGCTAGCATTAAAGCAACTGAGCTTCATGAAGACTAAGTGAGGAGCCAGACTCCATTCTGGCATAGTTATGCTGCTGCTTCTGGAAGCACCAGCTCAAGTTGCCCTATTCTACAACCCAATTTGCAGCATTTGTGTCCTAAAATGCAAGTGGAAAACCTCCCTATCTCCACGAACATATTGCTGCTCCTAAGTTGCCCCAGCAATGCTGTCTGAGCTGTCTGTAGTAGCATCGGTCTTCCTATAGCAGTGGTCCCAAAAATAAGGCCCCGAAACATGACTTGCCTGTAGAAGATGTGCTCTCAGATGTGGATCTCTTTCTGGAAGGGCTGCAGTTTGTGCTCTCTGATTGCCTGTGGGAAGGTTTGTCCTGTGTTGGCAAAGTGCCTGAAAAACAGATCAGGGAAGAGAAAAGCACAAAAAGAATCGTTTCAGTCTGGCAGTGCCAATACAACATGTTGTAGATGCTGAACAGTCAAACTAAGGTTCCTCTGGTTTAGCTTTAGGAACATTTGCTCGCTATGATGCACGCAGGTGGAGAAGGACAGAAATGGACCATCAAGAAGGAATTTCTCGTAGGCTAATGGCACGGGTAGGACAGTAAACAAGCCAGGAGGAAAAGCCACTTGATCTCATCAGAGCCCTAGCTTTTATGTAAGAAAAGAAACCAACCCCTCTGTGTTGCTACTTCAGAGGAAGCCCTCAGCTTCGTTCCTCTGCAGGTTATCTCCACCAACCACTCTGCTCAGTCACCTACAGCAGGTCACTGCCGGGCCACCACGGCCAACCTGGCTGGGAACCCTGCCAGGGAGGGGGCAGCCACAGCTCCTCTGGGCACCCTGTGCCAGCGCCTCAGCACCCTCACAGGGAAGAGCATCTCAATCTCCCCTCAGGCAGGTTCAAGCCATTCCCCTTGTCCTGTCCCTCCATCCCTTGTCCAAAGCCCCTCTCCAGGTTTCTTGCAGCCCCTTTAGGTACTCTTTAAGGTCTCCCCTTACATCATATCAAAAACATCCGGCCACTTCCAACTGCCCTTAACATAAAGCAGCAAAACATAAATCCTCAAATGCCAAAACAGAGAGAAAAACCCTTCCATACATAAGTAGCCAGAGCAGGGAGGGGGCAGGAGGCACCAGAACAGGGGTATCACCAGAAAAGCAGGAACACAGAGTTAAGCAGAGTGAGGAGGTTTTACTCATTCCTGGTAGCTGGTTGGCTTGGCTCCTGGTCTTTGAAACATCAGTTACAAGTGGTTTTGGGCAAATGATTTCAATTTCAAGGGAGAAATTTAGGTAGGCAAGTATGGGAGGGAGGAGAAGCCATCAAACTGCCTTTACACATCAGAAGTAAGCAAGTAAGAGCACAAGCCACACTTCTGCCTTTCGGAGGTCAACTGTGCTAGCAACAATTACAACAGAAGAGGATCAAAAGTCAAAGTTATTCCCACAAACATCTGTAAGAATCAAGTACAGCCTGAAGTGACACTTAAGCCAGTAGGAATAAGCAGGAATAGCTTCTTCAAGTCCTAAATTTCACGAGATCTGGTTTTTCCTGACTCTTATGCACATGGCAAAGCTCACAGTTCCGGAGTGGAGGTCTTTGCCTTCAACAGCATCACTGCTCAGTCAGTTGTGCTTCAGCTTTGGCTGAGGCTATGAAGAAAGGAGTCATGACAAGGTTTTATCTTAGGCATTCCCAGCAGCATTTAGCAACTGTTCTGAGGTACTGCTGGAGGCCTCAGGTCAGGGATTCCAAAGCTACACTGTAGCAGAGATGATCAAACTAACTAAAACTGAATTCCAAAAGGAAAAGGAAACAGTTTCTGAACTGGAAATGTCATTCACAATGAGCACCAAGAGCTGGGATAAAGCAACTCAACCGAACTTCACCCCAGAGAGAAATGCAGCTCTTAAAGGCTCAAAATCAGGAGAAATTTTAACTCATTTCACCAGAAGGTTACAATTGGAAGGAAAAAGAAGAGACCTTTCCACGAGAAAGCATCCTCAGCATAACTTCACATACTGCTGTGCCAAAGCAAGAGGAATCTGCCGGGTAGAGGTACTGCCACACTCCCCAGCAGCTCTGGAGGAGACACTCTCCTAGTCTGTACCAACTGCTGCACAGAGCAGAGTTCAACAGGACACAGACCTCCCGAGCGAGAGCAAGAGCAGGGCTGGAAGTCAGGCCAGGAGGGTCCCTCCCCAGGCAGGGCCGGCCCTGCCCTCCTGCTCTAGCACGTTCGGTCCAACACAAACCAGCAAGGCCCAGGAAAGCACAGACCGAGTCCTTACCTGTGAGCGGCTGGAGGGCCTTCTCCAGGGAAGGCAGCGGCTCCTTCCGGAGGGGCCGGGAGAGGGGGGGCTCCTGCGCGCCGAACAGGCCGGGGCTCTCGGGCAGCTTTTTACGTCCATTGGCGCCGGCGGAGCCGGGGCCCCTGCAGCTGCCTATTGCACTTGTGAAAAGGTTCGTGTGCTCGTCGCTGCTGCCTGGCTCCGAGCTGGGGGTGAACCCCCCCAGGGACAGCCCCGGGGGGGTTTCTGCACAGTCTATCTGCAGCGGGGTCTGCAGGCCCAGCGCTAAGGAATTGGGCTCCGAAGGCTCTCTCCTGACCCACTGCTCGTCTCTGCTTAGCAAACCCTTGGAAGGTGAAAGGTGTGGACAAGACATGTGACATCTGTGTTTCTCTTTGTGTTTGTACCTCTCCCCAACAGCCTCCTTCCCAAACCTGTAGCGCTTCAGGGACTCCAGAACTGTTCGAGAAGAGCTATTGGCAGTTATAGTGTCCATGGAAACCTGGGGCTGCTCGGAAGAACGATGCTCTCTGTGTTTATGGCGATGCCTGTGCTTATGCTCCAGCATCCAGCCATAAGCCATCTCGGGTGGAACGCTGGGGTACGTACTCATTGACAAGAGCGGAGTCCTGCTCGTGGTGAGGAAAGCCTCCTGGCGTAGAAGTTTATGCTTCTTCTTGTGGTATTTGGTGGGATTGAGAAGCAGATGGCCTGTATGCATGTACGAAGGTGGTGGCAAGGGGGTAGTAAAAGAAGGAGAAGGCGGAGGAGGATAAAGAGTTGGAGGGTACCTTCCATAATAACCTAAGCCGATGGGGGCAGCTGCAAGGGGAGAGGGAGAGTAAGGCATGCCGTAAGAGGGGTAGAACCCGGTACTGGAGAGAGGAAAGCTCAGGCTATGCATAAAGGGCATTTCTGCCATCGCCTCCCGCATTTTGGGAGGCCTGCCTCTCTTCTTCTTTAAATCAGGTTTTCTAATGTAGTGCAAAGGATCTAAAGGAAAAGTAGGATGGGTATAGAAACTATTGAAGTTTATCCTAAAAATGGTAGGCAGCAAATCTCGGGGTATAAAATGGTGACTTCGGTGGGTTATTCTGATTTCACTCAGCCGGCTTATCAGCTCCTCTAACTCGGCGAGGAAATCTGGGTCCTGCCTCCCCCGAAGCTGAGGGTACTTCTTTTTCCTTTTTCGCTTCTGCCTCTTCATTTTGTCATAACTAAGGTAGTCGTGGCTGCGGCGCTTGCACTTGTGCTTGTGCTTCTCTTTCAGGTTACTTAGAACAGTGGAAGTTTCGGGTGGGATGAGGGAAACGTGGTCGAACGAATGCCTCTTCTTCTTCTGGCCGCAGAACTTCTCCGCTCGGTCCGAGGTGCTGTTGTTGTCTGTCCCTATCCCGCTGTCGCTGGGGATCGTCTCGTCGCTGTGGGACTCGCTCACAGGGGAAGGGGTGGCTTCCTTCAGCGAGGTCAGCTCACTCAGGTGAGAAGGAGAGTTTGGCAGCAGCGTAGGTGGAGACAACCTCCTCCTGCCCTTAGCAGCCTTTTTCATGGCGAGGGTCTGAACGACACCGCCCTGCCTGGAGTGGATGTGTAAGTACGGCACCGAGCTGGGCTCGATAAACCCGGCGTCGCTGCTCACGGGGCTCTGTCCCCCGCTCACTGCGGAAGACTGGGAGCAAACTGGAGACGGAAGGATCTCAGAACTGTTACCTGCTGAAGGCAGCAAGTGGGGAAGAACTTGTCCCAGTGAGGTACCGGGAGCTTGTTGAGCAGACTTCTCCAGAACTGTCAAACTGGCCGAGCTGCTGGTTAAAATACCATTGAGGACAGCTTTAGGTTTCCTTCCTCTCCTTTTTCCTATATAAATCGTTCCTTTCTTGCTGACATTTATTTGCTGGCCTAATTTGGAGCCGAACGTGGCAGCAAGAGTGGACACGGTGTTGTGGAGTTTAGATTGCACTTTCCCTTTGTTATTTGGTTCCACTGTACTCGACAGAATCTGATTCAGGAGCTTCTTTCGCTTCAGAGTTTTCATCTTATTTATTTTCCGAATGATGGTTTTCATCAACTGCCCATTATTTCTCTTGGCAACTTTTCGGTCTGAGTCCGCTTCCAAATCACTCATGCTACAAAGAGCAGGCTTTTGGACTTCCTCTGGCCCTCGGAGCTGGTCCTTTCTCTCAAAGAAGTCCCCAGCTCGATGCTGGTCGCCTTCGGAACCCATCTTGCTCGAGTTCTCTGTGCCAACAAAAGGAGCCACAGAAAGAATCGGTGGCTTCATTTTAATCGAGGACCTGATCTGTCTTTTAGGCCTCCCTCTCTTTTTAGGAAAAGGTTGTCCTGGTAAGCTCTGTTTTAAGGAGGGAATTTCTACTTCAGGTTGCAAGATTGGCGGTTCTTGCTCCTCTTTCGACTGCACTGAGAAGACTTTTGATGCTGGGATCTTTAGAGTTCTTTTGGGGGGACCTTCGAGCTCTGGCATCTCCTTGGATTTAGGTCTTCCTCTTTTGGGTTTATACATGTCAGGTAAGAAATCATCTGACATACACAAACTAGAGGGTTTGTGAGTGCTGTAGAACTTCGGAGTTTGCTTGTCAGTCTCAGCTAAGAGTGCAAGAGACTGTCCATTAGCTTCATTCAGTTTTGGCAGCTGATGTTTGACAAAGTCGTGCTCCACAAACGAAGATGTTCCTATGTTCTTCAAGAATTTGGCCTGCTCCAAATTACTGCCTGACAGTGCACTGTAGGAAATGTTCTTAAAAAGCTCTGACCTTTCTAGATCTAGACCCTTTGGAGGCCGACACGTGTTTCTTGACACCACTTTAGTCCACCGTGGTTTCCTTCCTTTTCTTTTCTTTAAAGGTTTTGATTGCTGAGTAGTGCTCAGAGTCTTGGCTCCTTGGCAGGATTTCTCCGATGCAGCTATCGCACCGATCTTTAGGAACTGCTTGCTACTAAACAAGCTTGTGAAACTAACTACTGAAGGGGTGACAGTAGCATGAATGCTCGTTTCAGCTGCCAAAATGGGCTTTTTCCCTGTAGAAGGACTAGTTCTTGAAGTTTCTATGTAAGTAGCTTTTGAATCGTTTAAGTCTTTCTCAGCACCTTTAAAATCGGTGCTCAGAGTGTGGCTCAATGTTCTGTTTATATTCAGAAGTGCACTGTCAGAGGAAAACTGAGTTTTGCCAATCTGATCTGAAATCCCTTCTAAGAGATCTGCTGTGGAACTTAAATGCAATGAGCTCGATGCTAACTGGGAAGATGTTGTTGAGAGGCTCCTGTTTAAGGTGGTAACAGACACTGTGGGTGAAGGCGATGGGAGATTGCCCTCTCCTACTGCACTAAAGGGGGACTTTGCTGTCGATACATCTGAAGCACCTCCTGTTCTGAAGTCTGGTGAAGTGCAATATACAGGAGGCTGTTTTTCATGCTTAGAAGTTTCATAAATCCCTTTCTCACTGGTTGAGTAAGCATCCTGCGGCATGCAGACTCCTTCACTAAACATCTCTTTGCCTACATCTGCAATTTCCTTCCGGATTGAGAATTTTTCCAAGATGCTTTCTTTATTCTGTCTTATAACATGCTTCTCAAATGTTTTGCTAGTAGTATTTTCCCTCACTACATCTGTAGTCTCATGGCTTTCAAGGCTACTGAGGTTTGAATTGCAAGGAAGTTTAAAGGGCTCCGAGGCAGGCAGGAGAGAGTCTGCTTTCAGACTTCCAG